ATCTGCCAAAGACATAATCTTATATATAGAAAATTCCTAAAGTGGCACAAAAAAACTGGTTACAGCTAATAAATTCAGCAAAGTTGGAATACAGATCAGAACACATAAAAAATTGTTATTTTTCTATCTATTAGAACTGAAAAATATGAAAAGAAAACTGAGAAAATTTCGTTTCCCATAGCATCAAAAAGAACAAAATACTCAGGAATAAATGTAACCAAGGAACAACTGTGTATTGAAAACAACAAAAAGTTGCTGAAAGAATTTAATATGAACTAAATGAAAAGAAATCCCACTTTGGGAGGCCGAGGCGGGTGGCTCACAAGGTCAAGAGATCGAGACCATCCTGGTCAACATGGTGAAACCCGGTCTCTACTAAAAATACAAAAAATTAGCTGGGCATGGTGGCATGTGCCTGCAATCCCAGCTACTCAGGAGGCTGAGGCAGGAGAATTGCCTGAACCCAGGAGGCGGAGGTTGCGGTGAGCCGAGTTTGCGCCATTGCACTCTAGCCTGGGTAACAAGAGCAAAACTCTGTCTCAAAAAAAAAAAGCAAAGAAATCCCATGTTCATGGACTGAAGAACATAATATCGTTAAGATGACAATATTCCCCAAAGTGATCTACAGATTCATTACATTCCCAACAGTTTTTTTGTTTTTTTGGCAGAAATGAAAAAGCCAACCCTAAAATTCAAATGAAAATGCAAGGAACCCTAAATAGCTAAAACAATCTTGAAAAAGAACAACAAGTTGGAAGACTCACACTTCTGGATTTCAAAACTCACTACAAAGTTTCAGTAATCAAAACAGTGAGGTACTAGCACAAGGACTGACAGATCAATGAAATATAATTGAGAATGCAGGAATAAACCCCAACATTTTTGGTCACTTGATTTTCAAAAAGAAAATTCCCAAACCATTCATGGAGGAAAAGAACAATCTATTTGACAAATGATGTCAGAACAACTAGATGCTCACATATAAAATAATGAAGTTGGACTCTTACCATACAATAACTCAACATGAATCAAAGATATAAATTTAAGAGCTAAAACTGTAAAACTCTTCAAAGAAAATAGAAGGACAAACCTTCATGACCTTGGATCTGACAATGGTTTCTTAAATAATGATGCCGAAAGCATGAGCGACAAAAGAATAAATTAGACTTCATCAAAGATAAAAATGTTTGCATATGAAAGTTTTACATATCAGGAAAGTGCAAAGAAAACCCACAGAACAGGACAGAGTGTCTGCAAATCATGTATCTGACAAGGTTCTATTATAAAGAACTCCTTTTCCCAAAGAAGAAAGACAAATGGCAAAGAAGCACATGGAAAGCTCAGTGTCATTAGTATTAGGGAAAGGAAAATCAATACCAAAATAAGATACCATTTTATACCCACTAGTATAGTAATAATTATAAAATAAAATAAGAGTTGTTAGTAAGGATATGGAAACACTGGAATTCTCCTACATTGCTGGTGGGAATGTAAAATGGTTCAGTCACTATGGAAAACATTTTAGTAGTTCCTCATTGAATTAAACATAGAATTACCATATAGTGTGGCAATTCCAGGCCTTAGTATACACCAAAAGATAAAAAGCAGGTGTTCAAACAAAAACTTGTACAGTAATAGTTATAGCTATTATATATATTATATAATAATAGTTATATATTCCCAATAGCCAATAGGTAGAAACAGCCCAAATGTCCATCAACAAACAAGCAATAAACAAAATTTTGTATATCCATATAATGGAACACTGAATTAGTCAATTTAATGTTGCTATAACAGAATACCTGAGACTAGGTAATTTATAAGGAAAAGGGGTTTATTTAGCTCACAGTTCTGCAGGCTCAGAAATTCAAGGGCAGAACCCTGGCTTCCGGTGAGGGCTTCTGTGCTTCATTATAACATTATAACATGGTGGACAAGATCAAAAGGGAAGTGACAAGAGAGAATACCTGAGGGTCTTCCTGGCTTTATAACAACCAACTCTAGAGGGAACTAATCCATTCCCAAGAGAACTAATCCAGTCTCACGAGAGCAAGAATTCACTCAGTCAAGAGCAGCACCAAGCCATTCATGAGGGATCCACCCCCACAACTAAAACACCTCCCAAGCTCCAGCTCCCCCAAAACTGCCACATTGGGGACCAAGTTTTAACAAGACCTTTGGTGGAAACAAACTATATCCAAACGAAAGCAAGTATTATGCAGCTATATGAAAGAATTAAGTACTGATACATGCTACAACACAGATGGACCTTGATTATACTACGGGAGAAAAGTTTGACACAAAAGCCACATACTTATCTCATATAGCAGTTATTAATACAATAAACATCACTATATTAATACCTTTTAATGTCTGTATTACTTGCTAGAGTATAAATGCCATGAAGGCAGGGAATATACTTATGTTTCATTTACCAAATATGTTTTATCACTTGGCTCAATGACTTCTACACAGTAGAATCCCAACTACTGAATGAATGAAGAAATGTTGTTCACTCTTAAAATCCTTCAGTAGTTTCCCAACACACTTTAAGTCTCAAATCTTTACTATAGCTCATAAGTCCCATATGACTGGGCCCATATTTCTTTCTAGTCTTATACTGAGTTGGCTTAATAATCTATGTTTCAGGCACCTTGCTGAGTGCTGGGAATATAATACCTGACCTATATTGTGACTATTTTTGGAACTCTAGATAGTATGTGTTTAAAAGTAAACAATAGGTTGAGAATTGTAAGTTAGAGTACGCCTGAGTGTCCATACTGCTACAATAATCTTAAGACTACCTCTGACACAAATTTATTACATGAAAATCTGCTAATGGTTTAACAGTGGCTCTTTGTTCCAAAAGTAAGATAGATACATAATACCTTGCCTTTATGAAGTTTTTAAACCAGAAGGAAATATAAAGTAGTAAGATTAGGAAAAAACAAGGTATTAACTATCATGAGAACCTAACAAATATACCTGACCTGGATTGTGAAGTGGGAAAGGGAAGTTCAGGAAAGCTTTCTGGAAAAAGTGGTATTTATATCAAAACAGGAAAGATAAGGAGTCAGCTGGGCAAAGAACAGGGCAAGTTCCAGACAAAGGGAAGGGCATATAAGAATCAAACACCAAAACACATAGGGATCCAAAAAAATATTATTTTTATAAGACCAAAATATGGAATTATTGGGGTAGAAAGGGACTGAAAATATACTGCTATCTGCTGTCTTGTTAAAAACAAAATATAAAAGTAAAAATATCCTTAAAGAATGTATGTAATCACGGTCAAAAAAATAATTAAAATGGAAGGGTCTATCAGACATCATAAATGTCTTCCATCAGGCCTGTATAAATACATGTCTGCTGTATATTTCTAGTCTGAAAACAGACAATTCAAACTTTTATGAATTATATTCAAAATCAGATGAAATTGAGAAATGTATTTTTCAACCTTTCCAGATTCTAATCTTACTTTACTTCAAACATTTCATTGACTGGCTCTGTTTTATTTTTGGAACTAGATGGTATGTGTTTAAAAGTAAACAATAGGTTGAGAATTATAAGTCACAGTATGCCTGAGTGTCCATACTGGTACAATAATCTTAAGACAAACTACCTCTTACACAAATACATTACATGAAAATCAGCTAATGGTATAACAATGGCTCTTTGTTCCAGAATAATTTTAAATTTAAAGTTAAAAGACAATCTATTTTCTTCCGTCACAAAATTTTTAACCAAATTATGTTAAAAACCAACGTTAAATAAAATTCAGTGAGGAAATAAACACTGATGAAGGCTTGTATATTCATTTAAAATTTTTTACTGATAAAGTCTGGCTAATTGCCAGTTTCAGATATATTTCATAAAATGAAAAAGACAGGCAATACATGCCTATCTTGCAAGGACAGTACAGTTGATTTATTTATTAATACAATTGTTTGAATTCCTTTTATGAGTCTACTAACACTTGGAAGACTTTTCTGTGGTGATCAGAGCTCAGCCAAGCCAGAATAAAAATATTCAGTACCAGAGTATTACGACTTGAAGAATACCACCACCTTACATTCATGCTTTATTTTTTTAAAAGTATTTTTATACTCTCAGAAAGTAATACTTGTCCCATTTTCAGATGAGGAAACTGTGCCCAAAAGAATACATTTGACTATTACAGAATATTTACTGAATTAGTACTGAATTAAATTTTTTTTCTATTGGATCACTGCTTACTTCTAGTCCAGTGAGAAGTAACTTTTTTTTTCAATCAGGAATGATCTGAGTATTTGCCAGCAGTCAAATGATCCCAACAGACTACAATTTTTTTGGTGTGTAATGGATACTATAAATATCTAAAATAAATTGTGACCTATTTTATTGTCATCAAGCTTCTGAACAAATCTCTTGATAATTATGAAATGTCCTGCAAAAATTATGTTGTATAATATGGGAGTCAAATGAATGACATGAATGAGGAAAGCAGAAAGAGACTGGAAATCAACATCTCAGTCCAGCCTTCCAAAAAGCAGAAGCCATCACTTCTTTCCCCTTCATCATTTCAAAACCCCATGGCAGTGAACCCCAAACTGAGGCCTGAGGGCGGATGCACCAGACTTCATTCCCAGGCTCCCATAGGATTTATCTATTATGGGAAAATGGAGAGTCTAGGAAGAGGGGTGGGGCGAAACAAAGACAGATGCGCTTTACCCCGCCCTACCTCCCTCTCCCCTGGAATAAGGTGATGCAGTGAGGAAATCATCTTTCAATAGTATCAGGGCTCCTTGAAGTCAGGTCAGAGGACCTCGCGGCCCCCAGGGCTCTCTCTCCTTCCCCCCGCCCGCCCCCTTCACCTTTTCCCTTTCCTTTCAGTGACTTCTCTCCCTACCTCCCATTCTCTTTTCTAAACTAGCGCTGCCCAGTGACATCTCACAGCCAACCCAAGAACATCTGCAGGGCCCTGGCAAGGAGGGTAGGGCAGAGCCTCGGGGAGTCGTCACCTTTTAAGGTATCTGGCGTCCTCCCCTTGCATGGCGGCAGCGGCAGCGGCGTGGGGAGGATGAGGTATCTGAGAGGCGGGCGCAGCTATTTCCGGGGACGGTGGCCAAAGTACCCTCACACCTAGAGGCGATGCCATTCCTGAGGCCCGCAAGGCAGGGCAGCAGCGGCGCTGTGGTTACCAGGGTGAAGCCTCCAGCTCCTCCCACAGCTCCTGGGCCCCAAAACGCTGGAGCGGCCCAGACCCGCCCAGAGTCGCCTTTGCTGGGCAGTCAGGGCGCATGCGCTTGCTCTGCACCACTTGTATGCGCAGGCTCAGTCTGAGGCACTGACCTCTGAGTTTGACGCAACGGGGAGCGGAGCAGTTTTAACGCAGATTTGAGCGTCCGCGGTTAAGGAGTGTTTCCGTAGTCACCGCCCCCTTGAGGATGGGAATAGAAAGGGCTGTCAGGTCCTTTTGAAAGTAGGGAGGGAAATCCGATAACCTTTTAGTGAATGCTATAGAGCAGTCCAGTCCTCGGCTAATAACCTGTAATGGGAGGTTTCTATTTGGGGGCCTAGATTGCGCTGATTGCACTGACAAGCTGTAATTTGTGGAAATAATCTGGCTCTAGTACAAAATGGATATAATTAATATCAGCGTTCAAAGTGGCAGGTCTGTCACTTTGATGTCTTAAATCCAGAATACACCTCCCCCAACCAAAACCAAAAAACAAACCAGTTCCTGAAATCTCAACTCCACCAATTATCCCTAACTCTGGCTATGTTTAGAATTGCTCTTTTGAGGCAGGCAGTTGTTAGCAGTGCAGGGCATAGGAAAGAAGGGTTGTTTTTTAACTGAATGTTCTCTGCATTAAGATCTATTCCCATGGGTTCAGCTATTATGTCTATGCAAATGATTTAGGTTAATTTATTTGATAAATGTGAATTGAGGGCTGGTTGGGTGCCAAACACCAAACCAGACTCTAGAGATGCAAAGAAATCACCTCCACTACCCCTCCTCACCTATAATCTTGTCACTTACTCACTGTCATATAGTCCTGTTTTCCGAATTGCCTTGAGACGTATAGGTAGTTACTCTGCTGCTTTTTTCAAATGCAGTAAGTTGATGCAATTATTGCTTATCCTTTATATGTAAAATACCATGTTAAGACACTGCATGGTATATTAAATATAGAAATACAGTTCATACCCAAAAAATATGTTTATCTTCCCACCCATTCACACCAGCTACACTATTTCTGTAGTTGTTATAGTCATTCTTTCATTCTGCCAGGGAAGAAAATTTGAAGCTAATTTTGACTCCTTCATCTGCTTCACGCCCTCTTACTAAACGGTTACAAAATTCTATCTTTTCTCCCTTCAAGATATTCATGTGGTACAGTTTTTCTTCTTCATTCTTACTTCTATCAATAGTCTAACCACTTTATACCTAGAGTACTGCAATTCCTTCCTCACTGGACTTCCTATTTTTTGTTTTTCTAAATATTCATTCTGCAAACTGATGTAAAACTTTACAAATTATTATTCATGACACCTTTAATGGTAATTAGCAGGCCAGATTACTTAAAACCTTCACAGTAACTAAAATGGGAAGACCAAAATATACATTAAAATGCATAGGTAATATAACAAGGATTTTTGCAATGTAAGTTAGCTCCTTGGGCTTAGAGAATTTATTTTGTTCACTTCAGTATTCAACCCAGAGTTGTCACTGAATGACTATTTGGTGTTGGAAAAAATGAAACCTAAGTTTGAAAAAAACAACAACAACAATAACCTGGAAAAAATGCCCAGAGTCCAGAAATAAAGAGAGGGCTGGAAACCAGAGCAATACATAGATAACTGAAACTGGGACTGAAATAGAGAAGCTGTCAGTCTATGGCAGGAAAAGTACAAGATGAGCCTGGAACATTTTATGCTTGACAGTAAGGACATAGTGAAAGACTAACAAGATTATGTAAAAAGGACACTAGTGAATTTGAGACAATTTGAGTATCACTGGGATTGATTTAACACATTAAATAAATAAATTAATTAATTAATTAATTAAATCCATAATGATAACAACATAGAAAAACAGGAAAAAAAGAACCCACTTCCATTGGAGGCAACTACTACATCAGATCTTTACTCTGAAAACTGGTAATTAAAAGAAAGAATTAAGCATTTAATCTAATTCTTTTGGAAATAAACCAGAATTCACCTCCTTTTGCAAGAAAAGCCTCTTCTTAAGAGAAAATATCGGGTAGGAATGGAGAAAAATAATGATAGCTACTATTTTGCAAGCCCCAATAAACAATGGATTCAAATAAGCCCTATTAATTTACTTTAAAATAATTTAAAGTGAGGCAAAGTTGTACCCCACATATTACTTGATAATTCTAAAGGGAAAGAAATGTTACTTTACAATGAGGAGATCTGGCTGTCAGCATTTTAAACAGACAAGCAAACAGCTTCATTAAAGTGATGCTACCTGATAGCATATATAATAGGAACCATCTAAGATCACCTATGAAGTATTGTTGTCAAAAATTAACCTGAATCTGACCAAACTGTTAGATCTAACATCCAGTACTAAATAAAACTATAATTCTGAAAAGTGGTAAACAAAATTAATAGGATATCAAAATGTATCACAACAGAATAATAATTGTAAGGTATGTTATCGGTAGAGGAATCAAATCCTAATGGGACAAAAAGAGATATCTGGACCCATGCATGTATGAAAACTTGAAATATAACAGAGGCGAATATTTGGATCATTGTGGAAAATGGATTTTCAATAAATCGTTGTGAGACAATTGGTTGTAGGTAAAATAAATTGGATGCCTATCTCATGCCACATACAAAAATTAATTCTATATTGAATAAACAAATATAAAAAACAGAACTTTAAAACATTGAGAAACAAATATAAATTATCTTTATAACCTTCAGTTAAGCACACATTTTTAAAACAACTGATCTTTGTATAAGAACACTAAAAACAATGCATTTACTATTATTTAAAATTATTAATTTCTAATTTCAACCACAACACCACAATGTGAAAGAATAAGTCAAAACTTATATAATCTGTTTACATCACATAAAAACTAACAAAGGATTAGTATTAAAAGTACTTTATGATCCCATGTAAATAAAAAAGAAAAGAGAAACAACCCAATGGGAAATGAGCAAACAAAAAAAATAAAACATGAAACAATGCTCAACCTCAATAGTAATGAGAAAGGTGCCAATTAAAACCATAAAAATGTATTATTTTATATTGACTAGGGTGTAAAAAATCAACCTGACAATACCAGGTGCTGGTGAAAATGTGAAGCCCTGGAAACTATTAAGTGAACACTTCAAGTGTGAGTATACACCAGGGCAACCACTTGAAAATAAAATGTCAGATTATTTTGTAAAGTTGAATAGGCACATACCCTAAATCTCAGCAATTCTACTCTTAGTTCTATACTTCACAAAATTGTTCCAAAATCATTAGAGAAGTATTGAGCTTAGCAGAAAAAGAAAAATGGAAAACAATAACAAAATACTTCTGCAGGAGAATGAATGAATACATTTGAAATATTCACACAATACAATAATATGCAGCAGAGAAAGTTGATGAATTAGAACTTTACATGCGACACGGAAGAATGTTAGAAACACGATATTGAGTGAAAAATTGTCATGATTAAATACAGCATGTTGCTTTATTTACACTGCACTATAATTCATGTACAATAAAATGCAGTCTTCTTGGCCTACAGTTCTGTGAGTTTTGACAAACTCATAAGTCACGTAATTACCTGCACAATCAAAATATAGAGCAGTTCTGTCATCCCCCAAAATTCCCTTTTCTTCCTTTGGAGTTGTCCTATCCCCACGACCCCAGGCTCTGGTAAATACTGATCTGTTCTCTGTTCCTATAATTTTGCCTTTTCCAGAATGTCATCTAAATGTATTCATAAGTGTTGTTGCCTTTTGAATCTAGTTTCTTTCACTTAGCACAATGCATTTGAAGACAATCCATGTTGTTTTCAGTCCTTTTATTATTATATCATTGTTAGGTACTATTCCATGGCATGAATGTACCACATTTTATTTATCCACCAACTGAAAGACATTTGAGTTGCTTCTAGCTTTTGGCAAACTATGAATAAAGCTACTAAAAAAAATGTACATACAGACTTTTGTGTTAATTAGTTTTTTTTCTCCTGGGCAATTATCTAAGATTAGGTTTACTTTGTTATATGGTCAATACGTGAATGACTCTGTACAAAACCGCCAAACCATTTTCCAAAGTGCCTGCCATTCCGCATTTCTGACAACAATGTATGAGTACAGATTTAGCCACATCCTTTCCAGCCCTTGGTTTTGGGGTTTTTTAATTTGTCTGTTTACTCTGGTCATTCTAATAGGTGTACAGGGCAATCTCACTTGATTTTAATTGCATTTCCCTGGTTATTAATGGTATGAGCCTATTTTCATATGTTAATTACCATTTCTATACCACTTTTGAAGTCTCTTCAAATTTTTTGTCCATTTTAGATTTACATTTTTGCCAGACTGATAAACTGAGCACAGACATATCAACAGATCAGTAGATAGAAATAGGACAAATTACTAATATCTGAAATGAAAGAAAGGACATCACTTAGATTCCACAAGTATAAAAATGATAATTTTAAAATTATGAACAACTTTATAATAATAAATTCAATGACTTAAATGAAATAAGCAAATACCATGAATGATATTTATTAAGATGGAGACAAGTGGCACATGCCTGTAATCCCAGCTACTCAGGAAGCTGAGGCAGGAGAACTGCCTGAACCCAGGAGGCGGAGGTTGCAGTGAGCCGAGATCGTGCCATTGCACTCCAGCCTGGGTAACAGGAGCGAAACTCCGTCTCAAAAAAAAAAGAAATTGAATACCTAATGACAGTATTTTCCACAAACTATACTTCAGATGTAAATAACTTCACTTATGAATTCTACCAAGCAAGTAATTAAGATAATGTCAATTTACATACTTTCTGAAAATAGAAAATGAAAGCACATCTACCAACTAATTTTAAAATGTCAGCATTATCCTAATATCAAAATTAGAAAATGATACTACAAAATAAAAGCTACAAATATCCTTAGTGAACATATATGCAAAAATCTTTAATAAAATATTAGCAAATCAAACCAGCAATACATAAAAAGAATGCTACATTATGACCAAATGGGGTTTATCCCAGGAACACAAGGTTGGTTTAACACATAAAAATCCAATAATTAATTTTTCATTTTGCTATATAGTTTGGAAACTTGATCCTGCAAACCTTATGTTAAAGTTAGAA